TGGTGACTGAGATGGGTGTGGTGACTGTTTGATGATCCACATCAAAGAAAATAAACAAGCCATGAAAATCACTCGTCGAGACTACGCAAAAATTAATTCACATGCTGGGGAGCTGCTACAAGTTTGTTTTGCAAATAATTTTTTCACTTCATGAGACAAAAATGTGTGATTTTAATTTAAAAAAGGTTTTTAAGCTAAACTCAGCAGCTGTTGTCATGGTGACATGCATTAATAATTAAACTTTTGCTGTTGTTTTTTTTCTGCAGTTCCAGTTAAAGGTTGCTGCAGCTCTGCTTTCCTGAATGGACCATCTTCATCTCCACTGCAGCAACCGGGCAGCTCTGTTTTTTATAGATTACAGTCACTAAAGGCTGCATTGGGCCTTGTTTATATTTTAATAGTGTAATTCTGTAAAGACTAAATATGTCTGCTGGTCCAGCTCTGATTTACATATGTTGGTAAATTGCAGGTTTGAATATTTCAATACTTTCCTATAGCAAAACAGACCTGCAGAAAGAAATTACTAATAAAATATCTTACATATCCATAGTTATATGCTCTATAGAGAGATTTTCCTGAGCTTTGATTGTATATCTCTTTAGTAATTTATCATTTTTATTAAACTCTGAAAGCTGAGAGGCTTTAATATTCTGTCCTAGAAGGCGGTTAGATGGGCCCCTTGGTTTTAGAGCCCCTGGCCCTTAGTGGCCTCTGCACGGCTCTGGTCTGTGCCGTTACTTTACGGCTACGTGGAATCCCAATGCAGCAGGATCCGTGGATCTTCCGAACGAGGCAGTTTTCTACCTAAATGTAGTGGATAAAATCCTCTAATTTAGGCTACTGGTGGTTGTTGTTGAAAGGTGTTGGTTTTACGTGCGCTCAATTAAGATTCCTGATGCCGATCTTCTGTTTGACATAAAATAAAGTCATTTATTTACAGTACAATGTCCATTGTCTTACTATTTCCATTTAGATTCACATAAATTTGACATCCATCCAAACCAAGCACAGTAGAAAACTGTTTGCCTCTACCTATTAACAACACCTGAACAGAAACATGGTTGACCTTAAATAACCCATCCCCCCATCAGACACTCAGAACTCAAAATAAAATGCGCCCCCTGGTGGCGATAAACACCAGAAAGGATAAATGGCTCACACTCAGATTGTCAAGTTATGTTCACACATTTAAATTTATGTTTCACTGAACTGACTCACATTCTTGAGTTGAAATGCCAATAACTCATGAAATTAAGTTGAAATTACATAACTCATTATGTTAATTGGAAGGCATGACTTTTAACAGTGCATGGGCTTGACGCATGCGCATCGGTGCTGCCGGACCATCACTAGTGAAGACTCACACAGCTAACAATTTAAATATTGAAAACTGATATTTTTACACATTTATTTTCTCAAAGCACTTATTGAACTAATCCTTTCATAATATTTCGATAGAATTTTAAGAACTTTATGTTAATACTTAGATTGTTAATACTATGTGTAAGAGCCACATGAATGAAATGAATAATTATTGAGGTGACAGGAGCACACGGCGTTGACACCTGGGTGGTGGGCGTGGCGAGGTGGGCGTGGCTGTCACTAAAGGTATGAATGGAACCATAGGAAGCGGGAGAGCCGGGGTGGTCATAATTTCTGTTGACCGTGTTTAATTCAGTTTACTGTTGGCACTATTGGATGTTTGGCCTGGTCAGTCGATGTCAATCTGTAAGATCTGAAGGAAGACAATCAAAGTGGAATAAATCTGATTGCAACAACAAAGAAGCGGCCTGGAGTTTTTTGAAGCAGAAGTCAGACAGTTTGAAATTCCCCGAGTTATCCCAGTGCGGCCCTCATACAGCTTTAGCTTTGCCGAAGCATCTACTATGTCAATACTTAGAAATTAATTTTATTTGGCCAGTTCTTTTATTTGTTGTTTGCTTTTTCAGCCAATAGAAAGACGCGTTTACACCACGTGGTCACGAACGCTCTGCACCATTTACAAGCCAGCGTGGAAAGCGGTGCACCGTGTTGGTGGGGTTAGTTCTCCGTTTCAGGCGTTTCAGGTACAGGATCCGTTTCAGGCATCCTGTTAAACAGGATGATCCACTTGGTCCAGCAGCAAACTTCAGCCATATGTCTGAATCTTAGTTCACAAAATCTCATGATATTAACTCCTCTCCTGCCGCCTGTTTGGACTTTTAGCCAGGTCGTCCGCCGGCTGAATGTGAAGGAGTGGACCGCTGACAGACTGAGGTAAGCGAACCAAAACATGCAGACCAGACCCGTTAAAGTTCGGAGTTCTACTACTAAGTTCTTACCGAACTAATTAACAGAACTATGTTCGGTTCTGGTTCGGTAACCTGACCCAGTCTGGATAGTTTCTGTAGTTCTGATCCAGTCTGGGTCCTGCTGGCTGCAGCCGGATCAACCAGCGGGATTCATGTCTGCTGTTTCACTGAGCTGAATATGTAGAGTTATGAAGAAAACACAACCATAATATGATTATTTAAATAATAAACCGTTTATTTTAATATATAACATTTATCAGCGGCCATGTTCAGGGTTTATTTTATAATGTAAAGATCATAAACAGATTAAAAATGTTGCAGTTAGTCATAGATCTACAGTAGATTATCTGTTTATTATGTAATAACTGATTTAACTCCTGATCCTGAATTAATTTTCCTTCCTGAAACTTGAATCCTTCACTTCTCCTCATGTCCACGTTAATATTTCAGAACCACAGATGGATCAAATAATCGATCATGACTGCAGGTGGATAAACTCATGAACTACTTCAAAATAAAAGCATCAACCATCTTGGTGCATTGTTTCTATTTTAATAAATTCAGATGTAGGCTGGAGAACGATGCCTCAAACTATAAATATGGAAAAACTCCAGAAGATTCAACTGGATCTGGACCCAACAGAACCACCAGATCTTAAAGTTTCTGAGTTTAACCAGGAACTTATTTGTTTCTCCTGGTCCGGTTAGTTCAGTCTGAACCGATCAAAGTCCAACTTTTACTGTCTCAAAGGTTCTGCTCAGCGTGTCGTCGGGTAAAACCTGAGATCCACCTGGAGACGGGTTCTGTTGGACTGAGCAGGAGGTTCTGTTGGACTGAGCAGGAGGTTCTGTTGGTCGGGTTAAATGAACAGGTGGGTCCTGAGCTCCAGTTTGTTATTTTGGACCTTTTCGTTCAGAACCGGTTCTG